CTCAATTACACTTTGACAATGGGATACAATGTCATTGATATTGAGATATATGCACAAATATGTATAATAAGCAATGAAAATATGTTGTACGGTGACAAAATTTCTGGCGCCATGCATCATTCTCACATTCACTCGCTATTAATGCATCAAAAAGTCACAAACTCGGCGAAATATTTGTAATTTATTTCCATTTCCATTGCTCGCTAGACCGATATATTTTATTACCAATTGAGTTGTGCGTTTGTGCATGCCTGAACGAAAATATGGCAATGAAAGTGAATGAATGCTGCGGAAAGCACGTCAAAATGACAATCACATTGACAATTGAATCTTGTAGAACGACGTAAGGCAATGCAACACATAAAAAAACCAACTGATCAATGTGCGCCTCATTTACACGCCATTACATTCAATGTGTTCGATACCGCAATGTGTTCTGAATGCTTAATAAATAAACTACACAGAGATTTCTCTATTTTAACCGATTTTACGGCCATTGCTGCGGCTATAAAACAAAACTAATTGTTTCTTAGAATAGCTTTGAAACATTATTTTGCATATTCCGGCCCGGTAGTTATTTGTTATTTCTTAAAGAAAAAAACTATCCCAGACGAAAAAAATCCGCCATAAAGACCAACCAGTTCTAAAAACAGAAAATCCACATAAAATACATATTAGTTTTGAAATTATGTGAGAGTCGTCACACAAAAAAATGCACAAAACCGACGTCAGGCAAGTTACTCACTTGGAACTGATCCCATTTCCTCTGTTTTTTTTTCTTTTTATTTTGTTGAAATTAAGCGATTAAAGGTGTTATCATTAAATCCGTAATTTATTAGCTAACTTAATGGACATGGAGAACTGAACTGAACTGAACTGAATCGAGTTGATAAGTTAATTCCAGTGCATTTTAAATCAATTCGAACGGCAACAGCAAAAGGAAATTTCTCCACACCAAAGAAGACCGAAGAAATCGAGTGAATAAAAAGAAAATAATAAAAAATGCAATAAAAATGACGGAAGAAACACGAGAATTTCATTATCCAAGTGAATTTTTAGGTCGGTTCAATGGGTCTTTGTATTGATATGGAACAGCATTCAATCGACCATCTGTCACCCATCACGCAGACATGCTGTCAATTGCACATTCACCTCGTGTCACCAACGAGAGTGCAGAGGAATCGAGTGGAAGAGAGAGATAAAACTGAAGTGAAATGAAATGCATTTGCACTGTTGGTGTCAGTGACTTAATTAGCGAATTGTGACGCAATATTGAATTGATATGAGAACCAGAAGCAACAATCACATCAAAAAACACTATATCGTCTTTATCAATTTAAATGTATTGTGAAACCTAATAAATTCACTGCAGCAGCAGCCGATCCATTTCGATTCGCTCTTCATTCAAAACGTAAATGCGTTTAATGAGGCCGAAGGGTGTGTATGCGTCGCAGTTGTTTCGCTAGTTCGACTTATTTTTCCATATGTATTCATTTGTTAGTCGGTTGGTCGTTGGTGTGTATGATATGAGGGTGAGAGCGCGGATGATGTTGGTTCGTTCGAATAGCTTATGGTGTGCACCAAAAATAACAACAAAAAAACAATTGTGTCGAGGTTTTTTAAAGAACAGCGTGTGCACCTAATGATGTATAAATTACACTTTGTTGCATTTGTGCCAGGCACATGAAGAAAAAAAGAGTGGAACTAAAGAGAGCGCATAAAATTTGAGAAGCGGTGAATATTTGTTGGTTGAGAATTGAAAAAGGCGCGCGACACACCTACTTCAAATACGCTGAGCAAATTGAGACGCCAATAGTCGAAACGAATTAGGGAGCGTTCGGTTTTATTCGTCATAGGCTCCTTTTCAGATTCATTAGGCTAGGCTAGGCGGGCAACCTGAAATGAAAACGTAAAATCAAGGCAATCCGACCGCATCATAATAGAATTCGTGCGCATTTCGCTCCCTCGCATGAAATATGAAGCCGCATTTCGGTCTCATTTTGAATGCAGTCTGTGATTTAATTCCCATATCGGAGCTAATCATAATTTAATATTCTCCTTCAAACAATATTCCCGTTCGCATTTTAAGTGAATCGCCACGATGGAAATTACATAATCCTGTGGCATTGCTTTCATCTTTTCTGTCATCCCTTTCACGGTTACTATTCGTTCTACCATGGTATAATCTGTTTGATGTACTACTGCTGTTGCACTTATCGAATTCGACTCTGCAATTCCGTCCTTCGCAATAATTCGAATGCGAATTTGATGCGACTACAACATCAAACGACGACTGACGACCCGCAAACGAAAAGAAGAGCATTTAGAGACTATTCCATTTGCCGAGGCAAGGATTTAGCTAACTTAGAAAGATATGCACTCTCTAGGTGCACGTCACTCGCTATATTACCGTAACATTCACCCCAGTTTTCAGTGTGCTCGAACCCATGTGTGCAACTTGACAAAGGGATTCTTTTTGTGGCTATTATGAATTTTACACATATTGTTACAGCAACATCTCGACAACGTCATTAAATTATTATCCATTTTATGATTTTTACGTATTTCCTCTGCTCACTCAAAGTGGCTCATTTCTCTTTATTCACCGCTCTTCCATCCATTTATTTTCAATTGGATAGAATTACCATTACTGTTACCGTAAATGTCCCATGCATTTGACACGAATACAAGAGTTCAATGGGTCTTTGTATTGTTCATAAAATAGTTCGAAATATTGTAGTATTCTACTGAAGAGATTTTGGCATCAACTGAAAGGGTTTTTTTTTAAACTCACATCGATGCAATTTTGTTATTCAGTTTCTTTCAATTTCTAAACGAATATTCGAGAAAATATGATGAATGTTTGATTATTTGATTCTTATTCGCGACAAATATTTCAAAAATATCTTTTTTTACTTAAAAAAAGAAAAAATCACAACAGTGTGACCTTTGGCTGTTAAATGCTATTTTTGAAGGAAAACGAACAAAATCGGTTATGCTGACTGTTGAGTCCAGAGAGTACCATTAATGATGCATTAAGCAGAATAAATCATTACGATATAGCCTCTCTACATTCATTATTTTATACATGTATAATATTTTATTTCCGCAACCAAATAATACTACACAGTTGTTTTTTTCCCGACTCCTCTTCAATGCGTTAACCAAATGAACGCGTAGAAATTCTCAAGAGACACATTTCTCGGTCGGTAATGCATACGCATCATCATTCCCCGAAAAACGAAAAGAAGAAAAACAACGAAATCCAGTCATATAAATAGATCACACAACTACTGGAATAACTCACAAAAATTGAGATTGAACAGCAACATATCTAGTTCAATGAGACGCAGTTGCGGTAAATAGGGATAATTAAATTAAATATTGTTGACTCATTGTTCCTGCCGAATATATGAGTAGTTTGGAGCGAAAATGTAATACAGAAAAGTTGCGCGGGAAAATTTCAAATGAAAAGAGATAGCTATATAGTTCACTATAGTTTACTATACAGTTATCTATAAAGCTATCCCTTTTCCGCACATTCATCATCGACATTTTTCCGCTGAACTTTTCTGTATTACATTTTCGCTCTAAACTACTCATATGTACACCATTCACTGTATAGTAGTTTCGAAGAAGTGCACCGACCCACACAATCAATTACGTATTCTCTGTTTTCAGTTCGTCCGTCTTCAAATAAACAGAGGAGCAAGAAAAAAAACCGTTTATTTCATTTTGAACAGTTGTGTGTGGTACCACACTCAATTTAATGAAAACAAATCGTTTGTGGCAAGCCTTTGGTTTTCAATTGCAGCATTAGTCAATTGAAATCATTAACTTTGGTTTGATTTTTTCTTTCTAAATGCCGTTAAAAATCCAATAAACTCTTAGAAATGGATGACATTTCAAATACAAAGAGATCAAGTCAAATCAAGACCATTGCATGCTGCAGATTTGAAGAGAGAAATGAAGCTACATCAATTTAAGTGGAATTGTATCATATCGCTTGATAAATACTAAGTTGAAACATTTATGACAGAGATATAGGGATATTAAAAACGGTTTTCACTGAATGTGATGTATCTATTTTGAATGCAGTTTTAATTGAGATATGGTGATTTCATTCCGTACTGGATTACCAGTCAGCAAAATCATTAGCTCATGGCGATCAACTGGTTTCAATGTTGTGTGTTTTCACTGCGAATGTGAATGCATACATGTAGGTATCTGTATATTTCTTGCAGAAAGTCTAGACATCTGCATAAAAAATGATGAAACGCATATGATTTATTCGCTCGCTGCGTCAGTCTCATTAATCATTTTGAGTTTTGATTATTTTCAGTTGGTATGTTCTTTTTTATTTCTTCAAATATTTGCGCTCTGTGATTTTACCCACAAGAATGCAGCCAATTTCAATGTGTTTTCACTCTTACATATATATATATCTTCAGACGACAGTAATAAGATTCGGGCTATTCGAATCGATTTCAATGAATGCTAGTGGCACAGTTTCTTCCTTCATCAGAAGCAGTGTGAGACTACTCGAAAAAAGAAACATTACCATTTGGAAACGACAAAAAACGAGGCTTTAAAGACAAAACAAGATGCCTTACATTCGTAAGGTTAACTTTTCTACACTCCCAAACATATAATTTCCGATTAAATCCAATTCTCCATGCATTGAAATTAGGAAAGAATCATATTTTAATCAGACCTTAATATCAGAGCGATTTCAATACTCTGTTTTTTAAAAATTGTTACATAGCCGTGTTTTTTGCGTACAGCGTACAGTCTATCACGCACCTACCCTACGACCCTAAAATAACGCTAGATTTCGCGATTTTCGGCGTTCAAAAATCTAAAAAAAACTGATTTTAAGTGGGTCAAAAAATCTGGGGCGATCCCAATACTATTCTTACACGACATGGTCGGGTGGAAAAGTAATTAAAAATTTTGACATCTATCAAAGTGGAGCTAAAGCTAATGACAAAGAATCTCACCAGCTATTTGAAGTGTTGCATTCCGACTGAATACTTTTCCCGCTACATTTTTCGCCACACACCAATAAACGCCGCCATCTTGTTCCTTCTTCCCATGGACGGTGCGCAAAAAGAATAAAGATCCCGATGGCAATAGGACGCGATGCGATTTATTATCATTGTCCGAGGTTTTGACCGGTTCACCATCTTTAAACCTGTGGGAATCATGAATAGGTTTTTAGTTTTTAGTCGTTCATTACAAGACTGATATTATAATTTTAACCATTCTATGATAGGATCTGGCTTCCCCTCCGCTTTACAATTCAGCGTGACCGGCTCATTTTTTGGCACAACGATGTCGCTTGGGTGCTCCGTTATACGAGGCGTACGATATTGTGCTGAAAATGAAGAGAAAAAGAGAAGATGATTAAAATTATGTACACAAATTTCGTTTAATTCCATTAAAATCCAATAAAAAGTAAAGTTTTTCACTCTCCATATCTCGCCGCTTTCTCTGACTACCAAAAAATAATGACAAAAGAATGATTACAAGCAGACACGCAGTGAGTTAAATATGAAATTGAAGTAAATCAAAGTGTAGCCATTCCAAGTAATTTCCATTTTATGCTCTCTCTTTTCCTATCTCTTCATTCATCTGTTACGGTTTTAAATGAGACTGCAGTCCATTGGTGTGAATTGCAATTAAGACAAAGTTTATTTTTAATTAGATTGACGAGAGAAAGGTTTTCATCGGGTGCCTTGTACAGTACATTGTATGTTGTTTCGATTGCGCTATTGTTACTGTTTTTTTCACGAGTTTCTTCCTCGAGCTAACAAATAAACAGCAGTAACTACTGTTGTGCAGAAAACGAACGGATCTATGTTCGAACAGCTGGTGAAATGCGCTTGCTACTTGCTAAATCCAAAATATCTTCGAGCAAATCTCTGAGCCGGAGAATCCGAAGCGAAAGCGTATTTATCTCGAACACAACATAATCCAAGTGCTCGATTCGAAATTGAAATGAAATTTAAAAATCTTTCTTTCACAATCACATGGAAATGTAGCGAGCCAACCCAATGGAAAAGAGTTATTTTCTCTCATTTTCGCTGTGTGGTTGTGTGTGTATGTGTATTCGGGCGTTTGTTTATTTTCAGTTAATTTCGAGATTTTGAAATGCCGAAGCCAGAGTCGAGAACATGTCATTGCCGAGCAAACGATATGGAGCGCTGCATTTTTCCGAAATCGTGCAGTGAAAGAGTGAAAAAAAGACGAAACATTTTACAACATACAAGTGCATAAACAAACCCAACGACAAAAACCGACAGCAACTAACTTTTGCACACAAAATTGTGCGCCATGCTTTTCTCTCTCGCTTGCTCGCTCGCTCGCTCTTTGTTATTTTGCCACTTACTTTACATTGCGTTGATCGCATAAAATCTGGAAAAGGAACTATATGTGTATGCTATCATATCATTTCATTTTGTCTGATTCTAGTTCATTTTCATGGTGCTAGTTTGAGCAGCATCCACAACATTAAATCCAAAAATACATTTAAAATAAGATACGAACGAGTAAACAGAAAAAACAAGCCAAAATGTGAAATGAAATAGCGGTAGCGAAACGAGCATGCATAAATTTCTGCATACAAACAAATGATTCGGGCGACCAAAAATGAATCGCACCCAGACGAGAACGGAGAGTATGCGAGTGTGAGTGTGAGTGTGAGTGTGTATGTGTGTAGTGAAAGAAAAAAAGAGAGAGAAAGAGCGAAACTTATTAGGGAATTCATAAAATGAAGTTGCCATTTGATAAGGCAAATTAAATTCGAAGCACTTGAATGAGCTTGGCATTAAGAGAATTTCCATTTTGCATTGTCGGTGAAAAGCCGAATCGATAATGTGGCACTCGAACAAGCAGCAGCACTAGCAGCAGCAGGCATAACGTTTTTGGCTGGATACAATTGGCACAACAACACGAAAAAAAGACACCAACACATGCACATTCGCCCCAACTAAACAAAATTCGTACAATAAGAAACACAACAACAATGAGCAGGAATAAGAACGATACGCCGAAAACGGCGTGCACCATTAAACAGAATTATGGTATTAACAAAACAATTCTGTGCAAATTCCAGTGCACAAATTTGTTCGAGGCACTTTGTGGAAAAACCCGAAGCTCAACAGCACGTATAAATAATGAGAATGGTTGTTTTGGCTGACGATGAGAGTTATGGAGCCTGTTTTTCACAGTGAACGAACGCTAGACGCGCGCGCGATAGTACACTATCCTCACACCAAAACACACGACGCGAGTAAGAGACCGAGAAATGAAAACGGTGCAATGAAATTCATCAGTAGTTTGGATTAATTCGGAAATTGCGCCAATTCCAATGCTATTTTGGAGCTTGTTTATTCCAAATATTGATGATAGCCAGCAGATTAAAGTGGAACAAATGCGTGGACGGAATTTCAAAAAGATCGTGTCGTCAAATTTAACGGCATGTACAGATTTTATACTTAGCCTCGGAATAATGATTCGGTCATGAAAATATGCTCAAAAATTGACTCGATTCTACTATGGTACGATGATTGCTCTAGCCAACAGATTAAGAGGAAGCAAGAGCAGGAGCAAGCGAATGAATGCGCCTGCTACAATCACAAAGGGAATAATAAAAAGACTTGGTGAGTGCAAATAAGTGCTATAAATGTATGATATGTTCTTGAGTTGTGCTTTACGTTTTTGTCGCGTCGCTATCGTCTACGAAATATTGCAAAGATTCTATTTGTCCATTGTGTTCTTTGGCTGTCTGAAACATAAACATTCCTTTTTGTCTATTTGCTGTGAGCGCACGAAGCTTTTTCTTTCGGTTTGCTCTCGCTTCGCCTCAAACAGTTGAATAAGGTGGAATGAATAACAACAAAAAAGAATAAAAAAAAAAGAAACAAATGATATGGCAACAAATAGACTCGCGCTGCAACTGTAAGAAAGATTGGTTTCGCTTGTAAATTGGAAATTTAGTATAGCATATTTGCGTTGAAATGCGCTACTGTTTTGCCACGATACAGACACTCCGCATAGTCCACACAATATAATAACAAGAGCGCACACTAAATGGCAATGAGCCAAAAATTATTCTTGTAATGTGAATATTGTGAGTTTGTTGTATGCATGGCACTTGACTACGGTTTTTTCCCCTTTTGTGTCTGTTTGCATTTCAATCCTTTAGCACGGTCGTTGTTTGGCCGACACCGCTGGTTCATTTCCGTGTTTTCCCAGCACTTTTTTTTCCACTTTCCGTCTAATTTTACTCATGTGATATGATGATGCGAACGTGTCTGCAAAACTCAATGGCCGCGTATTTCGAATATTCGATATTATAAGGTTTACGTGTGGCATTCATCTCCCAATACTATTTAGAACTTAGTTTTACTTTGCAATTGCCGTTTAAATAAACATTTACAGTACGTGTGTTGTTTTTGCTGTTTCTTTTTTAGTAAGTTTTGGCCACAACCAGAGTGAGAGCATATTATTTGGGCATTGTTCTGCTTTCGTCGTCATATAAATTGCCGTTTCGGTCGATTTTCGAGACACACACTTAGCGCCTTGAATATATTTGGCCATTTGCAAATCGTTAAAGCGATTTGTGTGTACGCAAGCCTTTAAAGGCACCATGCGTAAATAAATTTTCCAATTTCATTTTAAACAGTCATATTTCTTTGGTGCGATATGGCTGGCTGTCGTGAACTTTGTGCGAGAGGCAAAAAAGGCACATGACTTGCGTCTCTCAACGAGCATACATACACAGTTCGTAGAGTAAAACATTTCGATATAGCTAGTTGTTTTGCGTTAGATATACACTCTAAAAATGAACTCAGACTCCCGATTTTCGGAAACGTTTGTTCGAGTGTTTCAGGCCTGACTGGCTTTTGCGAGTCAAGTGATTCTATTTGGCCAGGAGTACCGCATTCTGATTGATGATTTCAACTAGAATTTCGTTTGGATGGCGCACATAATTATTATAAATCGTTCATTTGCAGCCGTATTACAATTGCTTGCAGCACACAGCATCTGAGCACAGCACAACGAAAGGATGGATGGTTCGATGATGTAAATGCAAATGGGTCGTGTGTTTTACATGAGTTGCATCACATTCAATTCAAGATTGAGATCGATGCATCATATTGTGAAGTAAAAATAACAATTTCGAGTGCCGACATGACTTTTGTTGTTCTTTGCTGTGTACGAATGCGTGTGCGTGTTTTTTCAGCCGTATTAGCTGTGCCATAGAGAGAGAGAGAGAGAGAGAGAGAGTTTCCGAAGGAGCTGAAACACATTCGGTTGGCAGTTTTAGTTGCCGATAGCTCATGCTTTCCACCGTTTTATGATCCTTTTCATAAAAAAGGCCGCAGCAACAACAACATGCATATACAATTTTATTTATTTTCAATTTTGCGTGTTTGTGTGTAGATTTTTCATTCAGCTTAAGGCCCGAAACCAAATGATTCACAAATACCATCGAACTAGCGCATTAGTTGAACAAACTTGCAACTTGTTCGTTTTGTTGATCTTTTTTCTTTGCCTCCCATAAAATTAGCTCGTTGTATAAACAGATCGTAAATCTTTCAACGAAAAATGCAACGTCTATGCAAATAGAATGAGCGGGTAATGTTTAAGTGAACAAAAGAAAACCAAACGTCATGCAAATGTCGACGGGAGAAAATCGTATTAACGTGGTATAATTAAATGTTTAAATAGCGTTATTAAACCGAGTAAGCAGCCAAAAAAGAAATACGAAAAAATACGAGGAAAATTTTATATGCAAAAATGGATGTGATGGCACCAAATGCGCTACTACAAATATGCCACATACACATATTTTTAGGTAAAAATCAGTATAAATTATGTGCCATGTCGTCAAGTCAGCGTCAACTTTCACCGGAATGGAAATGGATTCGTTGAGTGTCTGAACACATCAAATGCCAAACAAAAAATACAAAAAATGGTTCGGCTGCTCGTTTTTTATTTCTTTTATTTGTTGATGATGGAAACGAGGAAGAAAACGAATTTGAATTCACCGCTGAATGTTCTTAATCACGAAATTTTCGGTCGTTTGAACGCAAAAAAAGTTTTGCATTCACGTTTCCACAATTCATGTTTCGGTTTCATTCCACGTACACATTTGCCGCTGATTTCTTCATATCGGTGTGTCCGTTTTGACTATCAATTATCTCTTGAAAGTAGCGACACACAACAGAGCTATATTTTTTCATAATGAGAACAGCTGAAAGGGAACGATACGGATTTAAGTTTTTATTGTTTTGAATAGAAAAACACTGACAAACAAATATCGGTGGATATTCTAAGAGTCCGAGCGAACTTTTGGTTGAGCATGTA